AGCTCAGCCCACGCAGCGCCAAAGGGAGGAAACACGCGTACCTCATAGAACGAATCGCTGTTCGGCCCGAAGCTGACCTTGTCACTGACGACCAGGTCCGTCTGGGGGTTGTACATCTCCCCGTACAGCCCCGGGCGGAACTGCGTCGTGCCCATCACCGCGCCCATCGCGCGCTCGGCGAGGGCGAGGAAGGTGCGGTTGCTGGTGTGCCGGCTGAGCGAGCGGAACTCGAGGATGTTCGTGCCAGCTGTGGCAAGGCCGACCTACATCGTACCCGGGGCTCGTTAGCGCGCCCTCACCACGGGCGGGAAAAGAAGGGAGGGACGCACCACGCCCACGGCCGGCTTGTCCGTCTCGAAGTCCATCCATGTGTAGGGCATGTTCGTCCTCCCCGGCTCCTTCCCATCGCTCCCATTGCCCCTGCCCTCGGTCCACGCCAGGGCAAGCTTATGCCCCAGTACCTCCGCCTGGTCCACGAGCACCTGGTGCTTCGCGCCGGACAGCTCGTACGCCGACAAAAGGCCGCCGACGTACCGGATTATCGTCTCAAAGACGGAGACGGTGCCGGGGGTTTTGGGGCGTGTGAAGTCGATCGAGGCGATGAAGGGCAGGGTGGATTCGAAGAGGTCGTCCAGGCCCATTACCTGGGAGAGGTCAGTGGATGCACCTGTTGATTTGGGGGGGAAGACGTACGATCATGGTCGACAGGCTGTCGACGATCGTCGCGCCCCATCTATCCGGTAGCACGCTCGTCAGCGCCTAGTCCAAACAGCAGGAGGAAGGCAACACAACACACCCATTGCGCGTATCGCTATACCTCTGCGTCATCGGGGCGACCTCATCATGCCCCCACGCGAAGGTGCGGTAGTCCTCGAACGCCTCGACGAACGCGCGCTTGACCTCCTCCGCGCGCGTCTTCATGTGCGCGGTTTGTCGCAGGTTGGGGTGCTGGACGCGGCGCGCATTTGCGGGGAGGAATAGGAGGAGCAGGGAGAGGAGGGGAAACGGGAGGGGGAGGCGCATGCTGGGCGGTGTGGGGCTCGTGCGAGGGGGGACGCTGCGGGAGGACGAGAGAGGGGGACGAGAGAGCGGGCGCGTGCCAAGAGCTCTGCGGTGATGGCGCCTATCGCGAATCAGACCACTTCGGGCTCGGTCTGCAGCGCGCGACGGCAGGTCACGGGCAAGAATGAATGGTCACGAAAGACGGTAAGGAGTGAGAGGAAGGAGGGGAGGCAAGTGTATGCCCGTCGTCCCGTCCGGTCGCGCTGTGTCGAGCTTGCCTGTGCTGCCCGTCGCGACTTCGAGGCGCATATATCTCGAGTCCGAGTACTGGAGTCCGAGTCCGCTTCCCTCGGCGCCCTCCTTTGCCTGTCTGAAACCCTACGCCGCGCGCCCATTCCCATTCCTGCCGTGCCCGCTATGCCCGGCACGCGTGCCAAGCCAGAACCCTGCACGCGCCCTTGCCTAACGGGGGCAGAGCCAACTTTCACGGGAGAGAATCAATACTGTATTGGCGTTTAGCCTGCTTTAGCCTGCCGGTTTACGGTGTGCTGGCAGGGCGTACTGTATGTAATCACTGAGCTCGTGCTCCAAACCCATCATGGTCTCTGCTGCTGGTCACGCTTCCAAATGAAAACGCTTCCAACGCCTGTCTTTGCTTCCCGAACACACTTGACCTCGTTGCTGGCAGCTCGTCCCTGGCCTCGTTTAGCCGGTTCACCGATAGCAACCTGCATGCAGCTCGCTGCGACCACCTTTCTCAATCCAATGTGCTCGTTCTCAATCTAGACTGTCTCTTGCTCAGCGGCACCTGCAATAGCAGCACCCGACCATCGCAGATCTCCTGTCGCGCCCTCCTCACCCCGCCCCGGTTACCAACCGGCTAGCATGCGCCTCCCACTGCCGCTCCCTCTCCTCTCCCTGCTCCTCCTATTCCTCCCCGCAAATGCCCGCCGCGTCCAGCACCCGCACCTGCGGCAAACCGCGCTCATGAAGTCGCGCGCGGAGGAGGTCAAGCGCGCGTTCGTCGAGGCGTTCGAGGAGTACCGTACCTTCGCGTGGGGGCACGATGAGGTCGCGCCCGTGAGCATGGGTGTGCGGGATACGCGCAATGGGTGCGCTGCCTTCTTCGGCTGAGCCTACGAGAAGAAGGAGTGTTGATGCCGATGCTGGAAAGATGGGGCGCCACGATCGTCGACAGCCTATCGACGATGCTCGTGCGCCCTCCCCTTCCTCCCAACAGCGCCGCGCATACAGTACTTACCCCGGGGCAGGTAATGGACCTCCCCGAGCTCTTCGAGTCGACCCTCCCGTTCATCGCGTCGCTCGACTTCCGCCAGCCAAAGGTCTACGGCGCCGTCTCGGTCTTCGAAACCATCATCCGGTACGTCGGTGGCTTGCTGTCGGCGTACGAGCTTTCGGGGTGCAGGCACCAGGTGTTGGTGGAGCAGGCCGAGGTGCTGGGGCATAAGCTTGCGCTGGCTTGGACCGCGGGGAGGGGGAAAGAGGGGCGGAGAAACTTGCCGAGTACTTGGATGGACTTTGAGAGAGATCGACCCGGCACGGGCGTGGTAAGTCTCACTCTGCGTCCCGGTTCTTTCCTCGTTCGTCTCTGGCACCTCCGCTCGAGCTGCTTTACCCAGCTGTACCGGCAACACAACAGGGGCTGACGGCCCGCCAGGTTAGCCTCGCCGGCGCGGGCACCAACCTTCTCGAGTTCCACGCGCTCTCCAAGCACACGCACAACGCTACCTTCCTCCACCTCGCACACCGCGCAATGGGCACGATCATGGCAACGACGCAGTTCCGCCCCGGCATGTACGGGGGGACGTACGACCCAATGACGGACCGGGTCGTGAGTGATAGGGTGAGCTTCGGCGGGAACGGCGATTCGTTCTACGAGGTGCGCCTGTTCCAGCTGTGACACGTCGCAAATGTTACGCTCTGAGCTAATGCTGGGCGGCAGTACCTGGTGAAGGTGCGCGCATTCGCATTGCGGCGGAGAACGAACGAGCGCTGACGGGGGGTAGTACGCGCATATGACAGGCAACGCAGAACCAGTGTACCTCCAGACCTGGCTCGACGGGGTGAACAGCGCCATGGAGACGATGATGTTCAAGAGCACGGTGGGTGACTGGACGTGGCTGTCCAATTGGAGCAACAGGACGGGGCATGAGTGTGCGCTTTCTCTGTGACCTGCGTCGTCGAGGAGCTGATCTAATCCGTCTCTCTCCTCCTGCGCTACACGTGGCCATCTGCTTGCCGCGTACAGACGCGTTCTCCCACCTCGCCTGCTACCTCCCCGGCAACTGGCTGCTCGGCGCCCGCCTAGCGCACAACAGCACCATCTACGCGCGAGGCCTTGAGCTCGCCGAGTCGTGCGCGCACACCTACTCCGCCTCGCCGACCGGCATCGGCCCGGAAGCATGGCACTACGTCCCCGCGGGCGTCAGCTCCAGCCTCGTCTTTCGCCCGTCTGCTGGGACGAAGATCGGCGACATGTACGCGCAGCGCGGGTTCTGGGTCCAGAACGCCGGTTTCGTCCTCCGGCCCGAGGTCGTCGAGAGCATGTTCTATGCATGGAGGATCACGGGGGATCCGGTGTGGCAGGAGCGCGTGTGGGACGCGTTCCTCGCGGTGAAGAAGTACTGCAGGGCGCCCGCGGCGTACGCCAGCTTGGTCAATGTTGAGACCACGGGTGCGTTCTGCTGCTGTATGCGAGGGATAACGCTGACGACAGTGGATACTGTTCAGAGCCAGTGAAGAAGGACGAGTCCGAGGTACGCGCGTTCTGTCCTCCCACACGGCAGATGCTGATCCCCTGCGCAGTCATTCTTCTACGCCGAACTAATGAAATACTTCTACCTCACTTTCTCCGACCCGGACGTGATCAACCTCGACCGATACACGATCACGACCGAGGCCCACCCACTGCTGCTCGAGACGCAGGAGTTCGACTACGGCCCGGAGCCGGAGTGGGTCGTGACGGGGAACGAGGAGCAGCAGCCGCTGGCGCCTGCTACCCCTACAGACGGGTGCGGCGGGCCGGGGGGTACTGGCATGGGGCAGCTGATGATGCTGATGGACTTTTACGTGCCGGCGCTAGAGAGGTGCAGTGCGCACCAGTAGCGGCTGTGCGGCATGCCCCGTATCGTGCGAAGAGGGATGAAGGGGGCGGAACGAGTCACGACTCAGGCAGGGGTCCTTGACTCCTTCCGAATTGGATCGGAGCAGATTGATCGATTGTCCATTGCACAACTTGTACTATCCATACCGCAATGCAATATACCGGAAGAAGGGCGCCTGTTACTGGATCTACCGGAGGACAGAGCGGGGAAGGTGGAGAATGGAGAACGGGGCACGCCGAAGAGGGACCGAGGTGCTTCCGCGGCTGGAAGGGGACGGAGAAGGCGAGACAAAGGACGGTCACGTGCGGCTCGTCCGGACGTGCGAACGCGTTTGGTTACGCCTTCATATGTGTGACCATATGCAGAGAGGTCCATCCAGCGGGCCGATGAGGAGTAGGGACGTGTATGTGTGGCCTGTGGTTTCTCCCTCTTGACGTATCAACTCGCTCTGCAACAAACACGCCAACATGGGACGCGTAAGCCAATCATGTCAAACCCATTTTTCGATGACCTGTTTGTCTCGTTTCTCACTCTGCCTTTCTGACAGGAAACTGTAGGTCAGTACTGCTTCTTACGACACTGGGGCTCTCCAGGTTCTCCATTCCTTGCCGAAAGGCCGTTGCGCTCTCAGGGAGGTCCGAGTGAGTCGCCTTTCAGAATCACGCTCGGGTTTAAACCGTGGTTGTAGATACTCGCCTGGAAGCACCCTAGCACACATTTGTTGACTTAGACAACTGCTTGTTCGCTGCTCAGCCTTCATGCAGAGGGCGGACGAAATGAAAAGTGCGCGTGACATGTGCCATTTGCGTCCGTCGCCACAAACCGGTTGCCATGGCCTACTTGAGACGCGTCCGGGTTTAGCCAGACATCAACGGCCGGATGGCACAGTGGTTAGTGCTTCCATTAGGAAAGGGTGGGCCTGGGCTTCGAATCCCACCCTTGTCTATGGTTTGCGCGCATTACTGCGCTTGATGGGTTCACGGCGCGCTCCGTGACTGGCCTCGGGCTCGGCTCGTCGGGTGTGCACGGTGAAACGTGTGTGCCTGGCGGGTTGGGTCAGCTGCTCCAGGAGGCGCACCGGCGGCTGTATTCCGAGGTACTGAGATTCCCTCCAATACCCAGCCGAAAGGTCGCCGAAGTAGTCTGCGCCCAGTGCGGACTGCGAGGCGTGAAGGGAGGGGCCAAAGGATCCGCCCAGCAACCATAGTCCGGCCGTACAATCGTTTTGCAGTATGCCGCTGTTATGCGGTACTTCCATGGCAATGGACCATCTGACTTTCAAAGATTATGGCAGCACAACCTTGTATTCGTAGTTGCGATGAAGTGCGCACAAGTGATTGTTCAATTACATCCAACCTCCTATACTGCAGTGATGCGTCCGTGCTCGAGACAGGTAACATGACGATGAGTGGGGTGTCTTGTACTATGCGGCCGATCCTATCCCTTCCGACATCTACTTTCTCCTTAAGCACCGTTCGCGCTCGGCTTCGCTCCTTGGTTGACATAGATCCTCGCCTCGAACGGCCGCAGGACATGCTTCCCCGCCTCCGGCACGTTGCTGATGAGGAGCTCGGGCTGGCCCTTAAAGTGTGACGGGACGACGAACGGCTGGTCCTCCTTCGTGAAGTTGAGCAAGACGAGTGCGTACTCCGCCCCGCTCCGCTTGATGAAGGTCATAGTGTCCTTGTTATCGATGTCGCACAGCTCGAACTGGCCGTAGACGAAGAGCTGCTTGTACGCGTGGCGGAGCTTGAGCAGCGCGCGGTAGTAGGCGAGCACGGACCCGCCGTCGCCCTCCTGCGCAGCGGCGTTGATCTCGCGGTAGCTGTCGTTCACCCGCATCCACGTCTGCTTGGCCGTCGAGAATCCGGCGTTGGCCGAGCCGTCCCACTGCATGGGCGTGCGCGAATGGTCGCGCGCCGTCAGCTGCGCGCCGCGTATCCCCTGGGCGAGCTTGTCCTTGTCGTCCCCCGCGATCCGACGCAGCTCCTGCATGTAGTCGATCGTGTTCAGGTCCTTGTACTCCGTGTCGACGTCCCACGATGGGGGCATGTTGACCATGCCGAGCTCCTCACCCTGGTAGATGATGGGCGTGCCGGACAGGGTGAGCAGGTACGTCGCGAGCATCTTTGCGCTCTGCACGCGGAACGCGGGCTCGTCGCTGCCGAAGCGCGAGACGGAGCGTGCCTGGTCGTGGTTCTCCAGGTAGGTGGTGCACCACGCGTTGTGCTCGGGGATGGCGAGCATCTGCGCGTCCTCCGTGATGGCCTTGAAGAGGTGGAGCTTCCAGTCCCTGTGCCAGAGCCTGAGCTCCCCGCCGCCATGGTCCATCGAGGCGAGGTCGAACTGGATGACCATGTCGAGCTCCTTCTCGCGCGTGCTGACGAAGGGCAGCACGTCTTTCCAGTCGGGCGTGTTCGGGCACTCGCCGATGCTCACCACGTCGTACTTGGAGAAACACTCACGGTGCATCTCCTTGAGGAACTCGTGCAGCCTGGGCCCGTTCGAGTAGTACTTGTCCGCCGGCTGCCAGGGCGTGCTCGGGTCGACTACTTCGGCGTCGGGGAAATCGAGGTATTTCGAGTACATGTTCACCGTGTCGATGCGGAAGCCGTCGACGCCCTTGTCGAGCCAGAAGTTGACCGCCGTCGCGTACACCGCTTTGCGCACGACGGGGTTCTCCCAGTTGAGGTCCGGCTGCTGCACCGCAAAGTAGTGCAGGTAGTACTGGTAGGCATCAGCACCGATGCACGCAGGGGCGAACAGACGGGGTACACGCACCTCCTGCGTCGGCTCGTCCCACTCCCACACACTGCCCCCGAAGTTGCTCCTCCAGTTGTTCGGCGGCACACGCTTCCCGTCCACGACCTTGCCCGGCCTCCACATGTACCAGTCGCGCTTCGGGCTGTCCCGGCTGCTCCGGCTCTCCTTGAACCACGCGTGCTCGTGCGAGGTGTGGTTCACGACCAGGTCGAAGATGATCTTCATGCCCCTTTCGTGGGTGCCCTGGATAAGCGCGTCGATGTCCGCCTTGGTGCCGTACGGCGCGTGCACGTCCTGGTAGTCGGAGATGTCGTAGCCCATGTCGTACTGCGGGCTGCGTGGGGTCAATGCGGCGTACAAGAAGCGGGACGGGGGCATTGCGCACCTCTTGTAGAACGGGCATATCCAAAGGACGTTCACCCCGAGCGTCTTGATGTAGTCGAGCTTTGAGGATATGCCGGGGATGTCGCCGAGCCCATCGCCGTTCGAGTCCTTGAAGCTAGCCGGGTAGATCTGCGCGCGGGATGAGCCCATGCTGCCTGCGTCCGTCCGACGTCGGCGAGCACACGCACCTGGTAGACGGTCGCCTCCTTCCACCACTTTGGCAACGTCTCGGTCGCCATGCTGTCTATGCGTCCGTGCTGGGAGGGAGGAGGGAGGAGATCGTCGTGCGGAGAGGGGTGTCGGCGGTGTTGCCATCCCGGCGCTTTATACGCTGCCTCTGTGGGGCCGCCCGCCCGTTCGGGTGAGGCGACACCGTGCACGCCGACCGGAGAAACGGCGGGACGCATGGCCGGCCAGGCCAACGGTTGCCTCCGAAGTCTCGGCCTCATTTCGGGCGGCGGTGCGCTCGGTGTTGCTCAATTCACTCAGCTCATTCATGGCGTGCACCTTATTGCATGACTATCGCTCTGGACGGCATTGCGAAGTACGGATCACATCGCCTCGCAATCGGCCCGGCTGGGCAGCTCGGAGTGGTGCTCTGGGCTGTCTTTGCTCACGGTCTGTGACTCCGCTGTGTGCCCGTGACGCGAGACGCCGGTCCGTGACAGCCAGGGAGAGTCACGGTTCTGCGCCCAGCGAGGCTGTCACGCACGCTAGGATATGCCTTCGTCACGTCACGCAAGCCTACTTGAACGCGGCGCAGACCACGGTTCTCGCATGACGTGACACGACATGGCAGCAAGAAGAATGGAAGGAACTGGATTGCAGTAGTAGTACAATGCCCACAACAGACTGTTACTGTACACCCAAGCGAATACATATCGCACCCCTTCTCGCATCGCAGTGTATACCAATACCAAGAAGCGCCCCACCCTCGCTAACCCATCCTAGGCCGCTTCCTCGCCATCCCCCGCTGCTGTTGCGCCTGCTGCTGCGCGCTCCACATCCTCGCGCCCGACACGCCGCTCGTGCCGACCAGGGCGGTCCCGGCCTGCGGCTGTCCCGCGAGCGGGGCGGGCGGGGCCGCTGGCCGCTGGGACGTCGCGCCTGTGTTCGTTGTTTGCGCGGGTGCGGGCGGGGCGGCGGGCTCGGCGAACAGCCCGCCTTCGTCTGCGGTGATGCGCCGCGTGGGGTATGCCTTGGTCGCATTGGCGAATGCGTTCCTGGTCGGCAACGGCGTGTCGACTGTGAAGAAGGGGTGGAGGAGCGCCTCGGCAGCCGTCAGGCGCTTGTCCGGGTCCCACGTGAACAGCGCCTGGAGCGCCGCGCGGCCCGTGTCCATCGAGCGCATATGGCGGTTCAAGAACGTGCCAAAGTTGTTCTCGAACCTCGGCTTGTTGGGGTCGTGCCGCGCGCGCTCGCGCTCGATGATGCCCAGCTGCGGGTAGTCGGGCAGGATCGCGAGCAGCGGCCATTCTTCCACTGTTGGCACGCCCAGCACTTCCATGATCTTGAGCATCTGGTCCTTCTGGAAGGGAAGCTTCTTGGACGCATCCATCTTCGCTTCGTCGCCTTTGAAGATGGGGCGGAGCGAGAGGAGCTCGGCGAAGATGCAGCCGACAGCCCACATGTCTGTCACGGGCGGTCAATGAACATGCCCGCCTTTCCACAACGGGCGATACGCACCGATCGCCGTGGTGTAGTGCTTAGCTCCGAGCAGCAGCTCCGGTGCACGATACCAGATGGTGACGACGACCTTGTCGCCATTCAGCAGCGGCACAAGTGGGCGGTGGAACACCCTTGCCAGTCCCAGATCGCCGATCTTGACGACGCCCTTGTCCGTGATCAGGATGTTGGCGGGCTTCAGGTCGCGGTGCATTATGAAGTTGGCGTGGAGGTAGGCGACGCCGTTGAGCAGCTGGTAGAGGAGGGACTTGAGCACCCCCAGAGGAAGCACAGAGCGCGGCTGGTTTGTGCTGTGAAAATGGATGACTTGCTACGCGCATACAGGTCCACAGTCAGCCTAGATGCAGGCTTTGGTACAGCGAGTGACGCGCACCAAGAAATCATGCTCGGCATACTCGAACACCATGAAGACCGCCTTCATTTCGAGGATGACCTCTCTGAGTGCGATCACATTCTCGTGCCGTATCTCCCTATTGAGTGCGATCTCCCTGCACGCGCTCTGGCTCAACCCCGTGTACCCGTCCCCGCCCTCCTTCTCCGGCTTGAACTTCTTGACGGCGTACGCCTGCCCCGGCTCGCCCTTGAGGTCTCCGGCACGCGTGGCCGCAGTCGAGTGCGCGAGCAGCAGGACCTTGTACACCTTGCCGTACGTGCCGGAGGAGATGAACCCCTGCGACTCGTACTTGGATGCGACGCCTAGGCGGGTCGTGTCCCGCCGGCGCTTGTAGGCGGACATGAGCGGGTTCACGTCCAGCCCCGTGGCGGTGGAGGAGACCGCCATCGCTCTTCGCTGCGGCTTCAGGTTGGTGCGTACAGCCGAACCGCAGCTGGCGGGGGTTCAAGAGCCGAAAAGACGAGACAGGGCAGCGGATGCGACACAGGGTAGTGACGACGAGCTGAGGTTCACTAGCCAGCAGGAGACGCTGGGAGAGCGGATGCACAGCCACGGTGGGACATCACGTGCATCCGCGACAAGCGCCCATCGGCACACGCGGCGGGCCATCCAACCATCCGCGTCGCCTTGTCTGCCCATATTCTTGTCGATCTAGGAGGGATATCCACCGCCGTACGATGGCTGGTCCGTCCTGCGTGGCAGCATATCCGCCCGAACG